GACACTTGGAGAAGTGATTTGCTTTCTGTAACCCTGATTCAAGGAGACACTTGGAGAAGTGCATTTGTAAGAGTTTTTGTTTGGTATTCGGTTATTTCGTTAGAGACTTTATTTATGTTTATTTTTGGGCCCGCAGCCAGTCTGAGCCCAGAACTGATAAAGTGAGTTCCTTTTACGTTTGTCTGCCTGTCGTCTGTTAACGAGCGGAGAAGGGGGGACAGAACAGGTACCCAAAGGGAAGGGAAAGTCAGACTTGATCAGGCTTCCCTGTTCTTATAGGTTATATGAGAGCCGTGGTGACGCAGTGGTTAGATGCAGTACTGCAGGCTAACTCTGCCGACTGCCATCAGTTCAGTCCTGTCCTGACTGGCTCAAAGTAGACTCAGCCTTCCGTCCTTCTGAGGTCGGTCAAATGAAGACACCCAGATTGTCGGGGGCAAGAGGCTGACTCTGTAAACTGCTTAGAGAGGGCTGTAAAGCGGTATATAAGTCTAAGTGCTATTGCTCTTCCTTCTCCCTCCCTCCCTTCCTCCTTTAACAGCAGAAATGCTGGGCTCGATTGTCGTAAGTCAAGGATGACGCTGTTGTAAGTGCTGCTGCTCTTGCAACAGAGCCCTCCAGGGTGTTGCATTGAGGTGCTGCTATTTTTGGACCCATTTCCCCCTCCCCAGAGGGAGCTCCTCCCTGCCTTAGTGCCAACCAGCCAGCCTGTTGGAACGCTGCCCTCGATGAGTAAGTCCGCCTGTGGGGTGTGGACTTTCCCTAATGCCAGCCGCTTCTCTGAGGCCTCTTTGTCGGTAACAGAGGCAGTATTCATGCCACACACACCTCCACCTCAGGCAGGAATTTCTGAGTAATGGGGGCTGGGGGTGGGGGTGGGGGTTGCTTGAATACCTTCCTGTGTATGAAATCTCCCCCGTGTTCTATACCTCTTTTTTTTCCTTCTTTTGCCTACATCCCTGGAGACACTCGGCTTCATCCCACACCCCAAACTAAATCACGTTGGATGCATTCAATCAATCCTGGGAGTTGAAGTCCACACCTCTTAAAGTTGTCAAGGCTGGGAAAGACTGATGGAGGGCTGGGCCTGTGTCTAGAATTCGGAGGAAACAAAAGAAATGTTGATAACGATAATTTTCAAATATCCCAGACATTGGGCATTTTATCACAGGAAAAAGGAAAAGCAGAAGCACCACCATTTGTTGTTGTTAATTGAGAAGCCGTGTCCGACCCATCGCGACCCCATGGACAACGTTCCTCCAGGACTTCCTGTCCTCTACCATCCTCTGGAGTCCATTTAATCTCCTGCTGACTGCTTTGGTGGCTCCATCCAGCCACCTCCTTCTCTGTCATCCCCTTCTTCTTTTGCCCTCAATTGTTCCCAGCATGAGGATCTTCTCCAGGGAGTCCTTCTTCCTTCTCCTTAGGTGGCCAAAGTATTTTGAGTTTCTTCTTCAGGATCTGCCCTTCTAAAGAGCAGTCAGGATTGATCTCCTCTAGGACTGACCGGTTGGATGGCCTTCCAGTCCAAGGGACTCAATGCAGGAGTCTTCTCCGGCAC